TTTTTTGAGACAGGGTTTCACTATGAAATTTAGACTGGTCTTGAACTCACTGTGGAGCCCAGGCTGGCCTCAAACTTGTAATGACCCTCCTTCCTCAGTCTCCCAAGTGCCAGGATGATGGGAGCACCAACATGCTCTGAGATTTTTTTTGTGTGTGTGAGATATTCCTTATTCTTAAATTTTCTACCTTGAGCAGCCCTGCCCAATAGAATTTTTTGAGATGAAGGAAATGTTCTTTAGTTATCTGTGTTGTCCTAGAGGGTCACCACTGATCATGTGTAGCAATCACGCACTTGAAATGTGCCTAGTACTGAACCACTGGCCATCCTATGGATGGTGCAGACCCAGAGACCAGATTCTAGATTTTCAACCAGTCTGCTTTGTCTGGCAGAACTGATAAACTCTTCCTTTGAGTACTTGCTAAGCTTTCAAACTGGATCAGCTCAGGTTTGCTTAAAAATGAGTCTGTGGTGTGGAGTTGATTTGTTGGTGCTGCTACTGCTGGTTTTGAGGAATTTTTGTTTTGTGGTGCTGGATAGAATTCAGGGTCTTGCATGTGTTAAGCAAGTGTTATTCTCTTGAGCTACATATATTCCCAACCCTAGGGCTGCTGGTTACTCATTTTATGGACAAGAAAACCGTGTGTCATCTGTTTTGCCCTAGTCCCTCATGCAGAACTAGACTTTCGTGCACATCTTTTGCTGGTTGTCCTTACAAGTCTCCTCCCCTCTCCCCAGTGGGCCAGAGGGGACGGATTTCAGATTGGGGGAGGGCCAAAGGCCACATGGTAGCCCCACCCAGCTGTCAAGGAACAGCTGGATGCAATCCCTTAGGAGTTGGAGAGGGAGGAGCAGGCAATGCTTGAAATGTAGGTGCTGGCGGGCTGGGGGAGTTCCCTGGGACTGCAGGACAACACCTAAGACAGCTGAATAACCAAGACGATGTTGGAGGAATATTCGTGGTGAAAATCAGGTGACTTCCAAGATTGTCAACGCGGAGGAGACTTCCAGGAAAGAAAATGGGGCAGGGTCTCAGGGCAGGTCCTAGCTCCGCCCGTCAAAAGGCTGAATGCTAATCTTGAGGTTCCGGCGTGTAGCTTAGAGGATACTCATTTTAGACGCAAGGCTGGAGAGGTAGTTGGAGGCTGCTTGGCAGGCATAGCCTGCCAACTTCTCAGCAGGCGTAGACTGCCTGCAAGGGTGATTTGGGATCTAAGGCAACGTTTCTGCAGCCGTCGTTTCTTTACTGTAGCGCTTACGAGAGCGGTTGGCTAGTAACGTTCGGTGCTCGACAGGCCAACCTGGGGGCGCCCAAAGGGGTGGGGCGGGGCCAGGCGCGCTTGGTGGCGGCGTTCGGCGCTCGACTGCTTTCGCCTGGGGCGGCCGCCCCGCGTGCGCCGGAGCCAAGATGGCCGCCTCCACCGCCCAGTGCCGAGTGACAAAAGCGGAGAGCAAGGCGGCGGCGGGGCCGCGCGCGGGGGGCG